CCAAGCGCAATGAGCACCATGCGGGCAGTCGCCAATCGTGTTGGCAACACAGACGTTGCCCGAGATGACACATCCGTCGTGGTCCCAGCCGGCCACACCGATGCTTTGCTGTCCTATCGGACATATCGGATACTCATCGCTGGGCCTTGTCGGAGCAGGAGTCGGCTCTTCTTCCTTAGTCGGAGCTGGCGTAGGCTCGGACGGCTTAGGAGTACTATCATGTGGTGGCGCTGTCGTGTCTGCCGGGGGCTTTGGAGATGGTGTCATGTCTGTCGGGGCTTCAGAATCCGCTGGTGGTGCAGTGGTATCCTCTGGAGGCGTTGTCGGGTTTTCAGGGGCTGTAGTATCCTTTAGTGGAGCTGTAGTATCCTTTGGGGGCGTATCTGTATCTCCCGGGGCTAACGTATCGTTTGGAGGTGCAGTGGTGTCTTCCGGAGCTGCGGTATCCTTTGGAGGTCGAGTTGTATATGGGCCTTGTGTCGGTGCGGCTGTCGGTTCGTCGGTGTACGACGGAAGATTTTCTTTGAGCTCGTCCCAAGAATCATATTCGTCATTCACTATCGGAATGTGATCCTCGTAGTTATCGTCCTCACGAGGGTAGAGCGGGGCAAGTGTTGGCGATTGAGTTGGAATCTCACACGGGTTGCAGTCGTCTTGGTCCCACCGCACATTCACGTCATTGACAACCATTGTTGTCATTTCCTCCTCACCTCCGTCAGATGACTCAGTAACAGACTGTAAGTTCAAATCCGAGTTGACAGCGTCGCCCGCGTTACTGTCCTGATCTTTTATACTTGCGTCCACGTCGGCTTCAGCTCCATCCTTCGTGTTATCGGGTTGGGCTAGCCTGTTTTCCCATGGAATAACGGAATCTGTCACCTTGGCGTCGTACACATTTCCTTTCCCTTCCTGTGTTGTGAGGAGCATTGTCTTGTCGATTGACGGTGAGCTCTCCTGCTCTGTTGCAGTCCCGCGCAGTGTATGTTGGAGCGAAGACTCCAGGGAGTCCTTAGTGTACTCTTGGCTTGCTAGTAGGGAGTCGCTATAGACCCCCGACAGCGCTTCAGAAGCTCTCATGGTCAGCAGTACTGCCGTTAGCACACATCTAACGTACTGCCTCATTTCAATCCCTGCTCGTCGCTGAGTTTTGCAGCTCTTTGCTTGAAGTAGCGATGGTATGCCTTCTTTGAGTCCAATTGGGATTGGTCGATCCAAGTGAAGGGGTGGCCCATGGTTTACAAGCCAACAGGCGAAGAATCTTCGGAGTGAAAGGTCAGGAGACTACTCCTGTCGCCCCTACAAAAGAACCGATTGCCGATATCCATAACCACCATGCAGGCACATTGAAACGACAACGTGACTCCTTTGTTTCAGGTGAAGCGTCGAGTCTGGAATAGATAAGGAGCTCGTCAGAGCATGCTCGCTCAATCCCCCACCCTCCTCCACACACGCGCATACATAAGGCAATTCTCTCACCATTGCTCCGTTCATTTGAGACAACACCTCCTCCACTCTCATTCATGCCATCGGGTGATTTTCATCGAAAGTCCGGAATCCACTGACCAGTTGTCCCTGTATCCACGAGCTGCAGTATCGCATGAAAGCTGTTGCTTTTGCGGCTGGGGGCATCGACTGCAACAGATTCCTTTCCACGTGCAGTGCACCGCAAAGAATTAGCTACGTCAAGTTTGCCTTCCATCTTCTATCCTCTCGGCAGAAGACTCTGCCGCGCTTGTCCTCATATAAGGCAATACCCCGCATTAGCCGATTTGGTGGCGTCATCACTCCTCTCAAGACGTCCGGATTTTTTTTATAAGCTTACCGCTAAAGCATAGGATCATCAGATATCACAGTAGCAGCGTTATAGACAGAGGTTTTTTTAATCTTTGTACTAAAATACTTCATTTAAAAAATGAGTTACAACAAATACGAAGAGGCTCTGGTTCCGAGCACAAAACGAGTACTGAGTCCATGTCGCTTCGCAAAGTCTGGCAAAAGGCAGTCACATAATCTCATCACTCAAGAAACTCCCCTCCGCTGAAGCAGCCACTTCCTTTACCTTCAATATCCAATCACCATGAACTACTTGTTCGGGTCCGGAGCAACACCAGCAACGGAGGAACAAGTCAAGCCCGAGGAGCCTGCGTACCCCACTGCCAACGACGTAGACTTCGAGGCCTATGGCAAAGAAAGCATCCAGATTCTTCTCAACCGGCACACGGGAGATGACAAAGTGACCACGTGGGAAATCGTGGACGACGCAGACGGAGTGAAGGTCTGGCGAGGAGCCGTGGAAGAATGCGACTGGTGTCCATTCCGTGCCGCGCGCCGTATCGACGCTGACAAGCGCGTGATTGAGCAGGTCCTGTTGGACCCGAACCGCACGCTTGAGCTTGACGAGATGATGGAGGGCATCGTGACTCTGCGCGACATTGGCGAGTCCAACCACCTAGCCTTCCGTCAGATCACCAGCAAGGGCCAGTTTCCTATCTACGGTCGTGAGTTCTTGGTGGTCACGTACGCTACTACGCTAGAGGACGGCCGTGTTGTCATCGCCACGCGCTCTGTGAACGTGGCGGAAGTGGCTCCTCTTGATGGCTATGTGCGCGCCCACATCTACATTTCGGGCTACATCATTGAGGAGCTCAAGGAAGACAACAGCAACGTGTACTGCGTCGTGACGCTCCTTGCACACGCCGATTTGGCCGGCTACATCCCACCCAGCATCATCAACATGCTGGGTACGTCTTCGACCGTCAAGGTCCTTGAAAACTTGGAGACCATTGTGACAACCAAGTAAGCAGACACGAAGTTAGACACGCGAGGCTAATTTAGGGACATGTCTGCAATTTCCAGCGTGAAACTGCCCATTTCTAAATCTGATAGATGCAAGCCTTCGTGTTTTAGAACACGTGCGATTTAGAGTTTTTTAACTCCACGAATCTACATTTATGAAACTGGTCATACACATGCACAGCAACAAAAGGCAAAAGTTGCTTCCTACACTGTGCAACAGCTAAATAAAAAACGACAGCTTGGAGTTGGAAAAGTCGACAGTGTCCATCCTGTCAGCTGAGACGACTATGACAGCAGAGTTTTTAGAGGCTTTGGAAGCAGAGGGGTAGACCACCTCATTGTTATTGTCATCGTCACCAACTTCGGTGGACACAGCGCTTGGAGCGATGGTGAATGCTGACTCTTCGGAATTAGAATATGAGTAGATTGAGTTGAGTCTGCCCCCTGCAACACTCTCGTGAGACTCATCCGTGGACGAGGAGGTAGACAGCTCTTTCCTGCCTTGGACAACCGAGTGTAAGCTTTGTCGTTGAGCTGCTTTGCTTCTGTTTTTTTGTTCTGAAGAGCTCCTGTCGAATGTATCACTTTCAAAGCTTTCGAGGGTGCTGCTACCGCAATCGCTGTTGTCCATCTTGAACTCGACTGACAGCATCGTAGACTCACGGTCGCTTCGTGGCATAAGCGACCACAATGAGCTGATCTCGCGGGTGCGTTTGTGTTCGTCCAGCTTCATCAGATCCAAGTATTGATCCCTCGAGATATTGGCCACTTCGATCATAAATCCGTCCTTGGACTCACGCTTTTCCGGATCAAAACTATTTTCATCGCGTGGTGTACACAGAGACACGACCACTTCTTGAGCACTCGTAGTTGACACAAGGCCTCGGCTGGGCTTCACCACGTACCCCGACTGGTTCGACGTACGCACCTTAAAGGTGAGGCAAGCACTCTGACTGGAGTTCACAATAAACAATGAAGTACTGCTCCAGAATCGCGGTGCAGGCTTGACATTGAATGACAAGGTATCGCTCGGCTGAATATGGTAGAGCAGAGGACCCAGCTCGTGCGTCGGCTCACTCGGTGTAGCGTCTGAAGACAGCGTAGTCAACATCGTGTCGCTTACAGAGCTATTGCTTACACTAATACTGGTGAGATTAGTGTCACGTTGTCTCGTCATTGGTGGCCTCGACAGCGTAGCGTTACTAGAACTTGACATCCTCGCCTCCGATCTCCTTTCTGTCGCAGGAGCAACATTATTCGTCAGTGCCGACATCTTTCTATCCATCATCGGAGGCTCAATCGTCGTGTGGAAGCTAGCGTCGCTATTGAACGAGTCTTGTCGGTTGCGTTGCTCTCTCGTCTCCTCCGGTGGCGTAAACTGGTTGCTAAACGACAGGTTAAGACTGCGATCGCTGCTGCTCCCACTGCGACTCAACCTGTTCTCCCTTGCACTCATACTCAAGCTTCTATTCTCACTGCGACTGGATCGATATTCTTGCGAGCTCGAGCTTGCGTTACTCATACTGCGTGAGAACATTTTCCTGTCTTGTGTGATCTCAGTAGGAGGCACGCCTGGAGTCGCCCCTGTAAAGCGACAGACCATCTTGTTCTCCGTGACAGAATCTCTTGGTACCTTCTTCCAAAATGCACCTAGTGACGTACTGGAGTTAACGTCTAGAGGCTCCATGGCCTGCACTTCTTCCTCTCGTTCCACACTCTGCACGAGGAAAAGTTCGGACGACTGGCGAGTCATCAAGTCCCGTGGGTCCATGGCGCTTAAGCGCTCGCAGGTCCGTGCAGTGGCAGTGATGGTCACTAGGACGCTGGCTCCAGGAGGCACCAGCCCGTGGGTGGGGTGTACCGTAAATGCGTCCGGGTTGCGTGTCCGTACACGGAAGACCACGTCGTTTAGAGGCGACAGATTCGAAAGCGTGAGGTTACTGCACGGACGATGCGTCGAGGTGATGTCCGGTATGGAGAACAGCAGCTCGCGCGCTGGTTCTAGCAGCAGACTCGAGCCTGCGCCCACCGACGCGGTGATCATACTTCACTTGCTCTTTTGGACACAATCGAGATTGTGCTTTGTTAGAGAGATTCGGCGATGGTACGTCAGACGTGAAAACCCCCTTAAGTGCATACAAAAACTTGCCTTTGTCACAATTGCCAATGCAAATTCTGAAGAGGCGTCATCCATTGTTACATTCTGTATCCGCCGATGCGCGCCACTTGCCACCATTCGAGCGTCCAACGACGCTATTGCAGCGGTGTGCTGTCGCTTTCGCATGTAACATCGATTTTTCTTTGGGTGGTGCAGTCGCTCTGCCGCTGGTGTTGGCATTGGGCTCGCGAGGTGCGCAAAAAATGCCTGAAATTTTCATGGAGATGCGGAACTGGTAACGCCTGTAATCTGGTAGATTTTGTGCTCCAATTAAATTCATATCGAGAGCAGCCTGTGGTTCAGTTCACAGACCAAGTGCTCTGCGTTTTAGAAGGTCAGCGGGACGATGGAGGGCCGCTGACGCTAGTGCACACGACGTTCCCGGATCGGGTCCAGCAGCTCTTTTTGAACGAAAGCTTGCAAACTGCTTTCGTCAGGGTAAATTCGTTAGTCGAAGGAATAAATGTCGGTACAACACTGAGCGGATATTAACTGCGGCGTAGACTACTAGTACGGATGTAAACGTGGACGGAATTGACGAGTCAGTCCAAGTTGAGATCGCCGTGCCGCTGTCGACTAACGAGATTATTCGACAGGCAACGGTGGTAGTCGTGCTCGATTACACGCTGAAGGTGCAGTCAAGTCGGACTTATATCTGTTGACGTGCTGTAACACTATAATTTTCGTCGACTAGAGCTACGCCAAGCTCAACATGGACGTGCTTACTGTCTTCGGACATTCGTCTTTGGTTGGTGGTGACACGTTGTATGCAGACGGAGATCTCAGCTTTCATCAGCGCAGTCCACTTGAAATTACAGAAAGGTGTGTACTCTACAGATTTGCGCACGTGAGACTGGTCCCTAATGATACAATTGTTTCCTGACAGTATGCAGCAACCTTACGTAAATTCACCCATCGTGAACATGACCAACGCCAACACAACACAGGAGATGCTGATGCAGTCTCTCGTTAGCAAGTACCGAGAGCGTAACTGTACGTCTTCACGCTTCTTCATACGGCGAACGTGGACTAACAATCCACTATGGTTGATCCATAAGATACCGCCAACTTCCACGTCCCGTACCCGGTATGGACGCCCAACGGCAACTCGTCTGAGGACATTAGGGTGTTTCGAGTACTCATGAATATCCGTATAGACCCTGTCAACGTCTTGTATGTCTGCACGCCGCGGTAAATTTTTTCATTTTACTAACTCCAGCTCACACGTGTCGATGCTGCTTCGTGCAGCTACACGCCGGAGTGGCCAGAGATTATAAAGTATGCTTGGATGCAGGTGAGTCTTCATCCAGACGGTGCTGTGCCATTCGCTTTAATGCCTAACTCACCTTATGCGCAATCCTGTTTCGCAGTACTACTGCATTTTCATTGTCGTATCAACACTCGCCTTCGCTCTGCGCGAGTATCTCTTCGCCAACAAGGTTTGTTGCACCGTAGTTGGCTTCGATGCCCACGCCTCTCTCATCTCACCCCCTGTGCTCTTCTATCCCAGCTTCTCTCCAGCGTCTGCGTCGTCGATGAACCCCGAATGAAGTTCGTCAAATATGAATAATACCAAAAAATTGAAAGCCACACTTCAACATTGTCAACGTCAGCCATATCAGTTAACCCTCCAAGTTTTGTCAGTTAAGTGTTAAAATATCGCAGTTCAAGTTCATCTAACAATGAGCACGAAGGAGAGCGAGCCGAAGACGCAGGACGAAGTGGACCTGGACGACCTCCTCGACGGTCAGCGCGTGCACCTGTAGCTTCCTCACACATCTGCGCTCTCTCACCTTCGCTATCGCTGTAAACAGATGCGCTGGACGACTTCGCGGACGAGGTGAGCGCCTCGGAGATGTCGAGCGTCACAAAAGAAGCAGCTGCCACTACCGCCGCGACGCAAGACAACGAAGATAGCAAGCTGCAGGAGGTTCGAATAGCTGTTAAGAACTTGACGGAAGCAGGAGTGATGGTCTGATGCTTGTACACTGTTAAGAACATGGCCAAATTCCTCGAGGACGCACAGAATCCCGAGTTCCAGAAGGTGCTAGAGCAGGCATTTCGCGAGTTGGGCACAGACGGTATAGTGAAGTCAAGTGTGAATTCTAACGTGGCAGGATCTGATAGCTAGCACGCATTTTTTTGCAGCCGATGCAGAGAACATTGAGCAGCTTTTAGGCTCCTTGAAGACTGACAACTCGACGGATGAGACGGACGACGTCAACGCTGGTGTGGCCAAGACGCTGCAGAATATGGCAAAGGCAGCGGAAGATATGGAGGGCGTGGGGACGGCACAAGTGGAAGCCATGGGCGAAGAGATGATGTCCGAGATGATGAAGAAGTTCGAGGAAATGGGGGAGAAGGTACCGGTGGCTTTTTGCTGGGAGTTAAGGAGTGTATTGATACGATGCTGTGGCTTTTATTGGTGTAGAGTGATTTCCAGGACTTGGTGGACGGAATGATGCAGCAGTTGCTGTCGAAGGACGTGATGTATGACCCCATGAAGCAGATCTGCGAACGAGTACGCTCGACTGGAACGGTACTTTGTAGCTGCACTGACTTTTAATCAACTCTACGTTTATTTGCTCTAGTATCCTGAGTGGCTGGCAGAAAAGGAGTCTTTGTTGTCGAAAGAGGACTATGAGAGGTGAGTAGTAGTACTTTCGGCTTAAGTATTGCTCTGTGGGCTGATGTACTTAGCTGCGTGCGGATTGCGGTGCTTAGATACGGCAAGCAGTACCAGTATTTCCAGCAGATCGTTGCAGTGTATGAGTCGGAACCTGATAACTACACTCGACTGTCAGAGCTCATGCAGGAGATGCAAGAGACTGGACAACCTCCTTCCGAGATCGTGAAAGATCTTGCACCAGGTAAACTTCACTTGTGCTCGTGGGTGTATAAGTAAAAGGAGTGCTAAGCATTAGTCTTCTATAGGTTTGCAGTTTGATGACGAAGGCATGCCGATCATGCCCAACATGGTTCGTCTTTGCTTCTCTCTGCACTACACTATACCAGTGCTAACTAGGAAATTGTTTACTTTGCAGGGTCCTGGTATGTTCCCAGGTATGGCTGGAATGCCTGGCATGCCTCGTAAGTAAAATTGTGCATCTACGTCCCTCAGCTCACAGACTGATGTCTATTTGTTGCTGTCGGTTTAGTTGGAGGTGCTCCAGGCCAGGAGCAGTGCTCTGTCATGTGATCGGACCATGTTACGCCTAGTGAAGATGATCGTTGTAGCTGCTATTTCCTTCAAAACAAAGCTAGAGAATTGCAACGCTTCTGTGTAGCTTATCTTGGACTAAGGCGTCTCTTCATTATATCTCCAAGAGGTCACGACCAGCTCGCTAGCAATGCAGCATCTGGATGCGATGTCCCTCGGCGTTTACTCGTATCTGGAGGTCCACGAACGCGTGTCTCGAGTGGAATCGAAGCCTCTAGTTGGTGCTACTGAGATGGAACTTCAACTCTGGGAGCAGGTATGAAAGAAATCCTTTAACTAGTCTGAACGAAAACTCACTCTCGTCTAGAAAAATTCTCCCCACGTGTTTCCAGACGACTTAAAGCATTTCTACTATATCACTAATGGGCTGTCGGTGAAGTGGTTTGCTACATTTTGTGGTAAGGTGTTTGCGATGGCAATTTTAAACCTACAAAGCACTGAATCTGAATGTAATGACATGTCGAGGCAGAGAACCCCACTTTAGTAGGCCATTTCTGCTTAACTTCGCTTCAAGACGTGCAGCGCTTGTCGATCACCGACCTCCCTTCACAGTGTCGCGCTGCAGACAAGCATCGGCTTGACTTGACAAAGGTACAAGTCATTCAATTAATTTTAACAGAGCTCGGTCTTCTAACATTCAAATTCAAACCAGATCGCTCACAAGGAATTGGTAGGGTTCTCTCTTGAGGCGTCACCAAAATACGGCACAGTTGCTCTCGTCTATCTCGAAGGTACTGCTTATTTGTTCAAGTTTCTTCCCGAACTATACCCACCACGATGCTGAATCTATCAGAAAAACCGCAGATATGGTTCAGGGACATAAGGGGTAGCTGGAGCTTCCTCGCTAAGACGTTCACCAACTATTACCGCATGATGATTGCTCATCTGGGCATCATCTCATGGCAGGTAAGCTCTCATGAACAAGACCAAAGGACAACGGAAATCTTCTGATTAACTATCCAAGCAGGCTATCTTCTCAGATACTGGTGTTGATCCCATGCAAAAGGTACGCGCGCACTGTCAGTATTGTACAGTACTGTATGCAGCTAAGCTTTGTTGTAGCCATGGCTTTACCTCTTTATCCCAGATCGAATGCTCCTGGACGAGCAACAAACTCAAGATGAAGAACAGCAAGAATGATGAAACACTTGCCATTGTATTGCACTAATAACAGGCCAATGGCGCACATTTATTGGGTAAGCCACCTGTGCTCAGACACAGCAAGACTGTCAGATTTGTCAGACTTGCCGTCATCCTCTAAGTAAAAGATGCTCTCATCTTTATACTTGAGTTTGCCGTAGTCTCCCTTCGAGATCGCCACGACTCTTCTCTTCACTTGCGACGACGAAATGTCCAACACTTTGACAGGAGTCTTCGAGAGCTCGGGGTTGTACGGCTCTCTACGTAAAAACAAAATTGTCAGTTTTATCACGCACTACCAGCAGCATAGAAAACTACAGAGACTTGTACCGTTTCAGCATGCCTACTCGAAGCATAACTCGGTTTTCCTTGCTATCCTTCCGCTTCGACTGCGAGCCTTCGTCTTTACGGCCACTCACATTAATGCTCAGGATCTCGCAGACGTTAAACAGCAGATAGTGATCAGCTGCGCTACCGGAAATGTCCGCCATTACAAGTTCGCCAGTATGCAGCTTCAGTCTGGTGCTATAGTACGCAAAAACAAGCATGCATTAGTCAGCCAACCACGATAGAAAAGAAACTAGTGATTGAAGTACGAACTTGTCACTATCGCCGATCTCAGCACTCGCTGCGAACACATCTTCGCTGCCGACGCGATGTGGTTCAAAGACTGGTTCCTCTGGATCCAGAAATTTCTGATTAACAATCGAGATTATCACCAAAATTAGAATCATAAATAGAGCACAAAAACACTAAGGGAAAAGCACGTACCTGGAGGATCATGCACTCAGTGACCCACTGGAAATCTTTTGTGGGTATACGACGCTTTCTCTTATAGTATCGACACGTCTGTAAACCACAAGAGAAGGTAAGCAACAGCATAGCCCAGGCCAGCAAGAGCATGCCACGTACCGGCGTGTACTCATCGCATAGCACCACATCGACACTAACGCCACTCTTGCTAGAGAAATTCTAACACAAAAGAAACCAAATAGTTATAGCAATGATAGAAAGAAACATAGACTTTAACGTGTCTGGCTCACCTCGTATACCGCGTCTGCGCCACAAGTCTTCAATATAAACGCCATCAAATTGGACTTGTCCTTCGCCTCAGACTTGGAAATTCGAGAAACGTCACTGACGATGCCAAAGGAATAGCCCTCAAAAATGTGTAGCTGCACGAAGTAGACAGCCAGCAAACGGTTAGTACTGTACACGGCTTCAAGTAGTTTCCATGTCAGCGCGTACCTCTCTAGGAGGGAAGCACTCGAACTTCCGAGTGGTCACGGAATAGCCCGTTGGCACTTGATACCCGTCGAAAGGTACCACATACCCAGCATCAATGCAATCTTTGATCCAGTCCGTGTGGACGACGGGGATTCCGCACGCCACCGCTTGCATGAACTTGCGCTTCCTCCACGACACCGGCGTCGCAATCACCACCGCCTTGGAGTTGTTTCTGTACAGTACGTCCTGGTACCGCTCTGGGATTTTACCTCCATGGCCTTCGATCAGTTCCTTCAAAGTTTCCTCTCCAGTCTTCACGAACCCAGTCAAGCAAAACTCAAACTTGTACTTGAACAGAGTCCGCGACCTCGACCCATACGCTCGCTGTGACGGCACTGGCGTCAGCGTCCGTGTTCGTGTCCGAACTTGCGGAGTCGAGGTGGGAGTTGACTGTGTAGACCGAGTGCTACGTCGAGCAGGAGGTCGCGGGGTCTGCGGATCGCCACCATCGTCTTTCGAAGGCACATTACCATCCGAAGACACGAATTCACGTCTTCGTTTCTTGGCTGTCGGGGTAGAAACGCTCAAATCCGGTGAATCCTCCTTAGACGACGTTTTCTGCTTCTTTGTTCCTGTTTGTAAGTCTGGCGAGGGCGTATTTTTCCTCTTAGAAGTCACTTGTGTATCAGTCGTAGTCGTAGAACTCTCCAGGACAGTGGGGTTGTCTGCTGGCGTTGGTGTAGGCGTTGGCGTTGGCGTAGCTAGATACACCGGACTGATCGAAGACTCGAACGGACTGGGTCTGTCGCTTTTAGAAAACGTTTCTATCCTCTTGGTCGCTGGGGTGCCTTCACTTGTTAAACTTGCACTGAAGTGAGGCTCACCGTCCTGCGACGGCATGGAGAAGGAGAATTCCAGACTACGAATCGCCTTCGTCTGAGAATCAGCTGCGGTAGCTACTGGCTTTTCAGCCAATAGATCGTCATTATTCCTTGAAGGTGAGTTCGGCTCGACTACCGGTTCGCCCTCCGTCCCAATCTTACTACGTTGTGTAGGCACACAGTCTTCTTGCTCTTCGTCATTCAAAGCCCCCGCAACGTCCCTTATTTCGTCTCTGACCACCAGCGTCGCGTTCTTCTCCTCTGAGTCCGATTTATCCACTCGAATGGGGTTAACTCTCGGAGTTAAATAATCCTGCTGACTGTGAGTACCCTGCGATCCTTCTCGACTTGTCGCTTCGTCTTCACAGCTTCTCTTCTCGTCTGGCGTGGGTGCAATGACTGAATCCATTTCCACTGCATCCTGCGCAACGTCTTTGCTCTTCTCTTCACTGTCAACTTCCTCTATAGTAGACGAACAAGCTCCATACGGTAAAGTTCCTGTCTCAGAGAATGGGTACACTTCCGTCTCCCCTTCTTCATCAGCGCCATAGCTCTGCGTCCTATCTCCGCCATCGTCCGCCTCTTCCAGCTGCTGCGTACACTCCATTTCGTCCTCGTAATCCGTCTCGCTATCTTCGATAATACTCTTCTCCACGTTCTCCTTCTCCTCCGCCGCATTCTTCTCCTCAGTATCCGACGATTTCTCTAACGTAGGCTGGAAAATACGCGGAGCCAGGTCTTCACTGTACTCCGAGTACGCGGCCACTGAGTCCTCGGCTTCTTGTTGTTGTTTGCTCGCCATTTTGTCCTTTCGAGCGCGCCACGCCGCCTCCACGGCCTTTAACATGGTTGGTGGGGGGCTTGGAGTCCTGTTTCTGCGCTCAAATTGCTCTGGATTGCGCTTTTTAAAAGGAGAACTCTTCTGCGTCTTCTCTTTCTTCTTCTGTGGCATTACGTTCTCGTCCATCTGCGTGTCTTCGGCGAATAGTTCGTTGAATGGGTTCGCACTTAGGTGAGCGGCAGGGCGGAAGCCATCGCTGCCTCTTGTGACGTCTGAGGTCGCGTCCAGGTCCAGCACGAGTTTAAGTGTCTGTTTCTTCTCCTTCACTGGCGCTAGCGCCACCTCCTCGGCACTCGGAGGCACGTGAAACCCTAAAAAGGCGTTAGGGTCTGCACTGCATTGCTGGGACTCGACAAAGCTATCACTGGGGCGATGCACAGGGCTGTCAGGACGCGAGAATGACACGTCGGATAGTCTGCGGCTGTCCGAGGACGTCGACGGCCTTGGAGACTCCATTCAAGCACCAATAACCCGTGGCACTGGCGGGTTACGGTTAGAAATGGCGCGGCGTGAGACTTGCGATGGCCGTTTTTCCCGCCAGAAATAATCCGAAAATAGTGATACCGGTATTAGCAGGTAAAGACAAATACGAGGTAATTAATGAGTGATGGTCTTTCTAATGAAGTCTATTTTGAATTAACTCCTCTTTATGTAATTGCTAAGCTTTAGAAATTCCTTTTAAGTTTTGACAAAGTACTACACTGTGTACTGTTAACAGTAATTTCTAAAGAGCAAAAAGTAATTTTAGCTGAAATTTGAAGTTTTCAAGAGTGACGGAACTTGAGGCTGTATTTTGAAACGGCATTATGGACATTTTCTGCCTTATCAGCTCGCTGTATCCATTGACAAAAGTTTTTCAAGCATTGGCAAGTGTTTTGACGAGCTCGGATTTTGTGGTTGTGTGGCCAGCAACGGCTGCAGGTCTGGCGGATGATGCTGACAGAAAGCGAATGGTAGCGATTGCTGAGTCATGAAATCCACCTCAGCTCGGACGCTGATATGACGGAGCTCTATTGCTTCCAGAATGTGGCAGGATATGACGGACTAATGGTGCGCTTGTTCCAATCGCTTCGAAATGGCATGCGGAGAGATATGAATGAGTTGAGCATCTGGCATTTGCAGAAGATACCAGGAGGGACGCAAAGTAACCTGAAAAAAGGGGAAAATGAAGGCTCAAGACTCGATTCGACTGCGGAGATCTCGCCTCCTGTCGCTGGAAGTGGAAACTCTGAAGCACGGACGATCTCTCCGGCGGAAATGGAGAAAAAAAGAAGGCGGAAAAGTGATTTGAAGGACCAAATTCTCAGTCTGAGAAAGGCAAACGGAGAAGTGCGACCACCGACGAAAACCCGTCGATGAAGCGTTGGAAGAAAGAAGAGAAGTGTGCATAGCTCCGCTACCCGAGAGCTACGCTAGTGTTGGCAACACCGAAATCTTGTGGCGTTTGCGTCGACTGAATACTGCTAGTAAACGTCATGACGCGTGCGATGCCGAAGTCGTACGCGCGGTTGGTTCGACGCATCAGAGCGACTCTAAAATGTGCATTGACGATGGAGACGATATAGAGTAGGTAGATAATTTTTCGGGTCGGATACGGGTAGGGCCTGATAGTGGGGTCAGAAGTTTGACAGCCAATTCATCTACAACTTTCGAATGGGTCTGAGATAAAGGTCTGTGCTCGTTATGAAGCAGCAGTTGCCGAACTCGGCTTGTATCCGTTTCAATACTCGTATTATCATGAAACCACCATCAGCTAACGGAGCAGCAGTTGCTTGTATCCGTTAAGAAACTTGCAGCCCTTGAAGTCCAACTGACTTGTAGCCACTATCAGCTTACCAACGTCGGCTCTTGTCATTTCAGATTTTTCCAGCTAGCTCGTGAAGCTACGAATCCAAACAACTCGTCGGGGGTCATGGCTTTCGCCCCGGGGAACCAGCGCAATGCGCTATCCCCACGCCACCTCACAGCCACAACAACCCTCCAGCAACGCCCCACCTCAACCTGCAGCGAGCAACACCTCCCCAGCTAGCGCGGCGTGAGCAGGACAGTCAAATGCCAACGCGATTGCCTCACACTGCTGCTACTCGACACGAGCGCAATACAAGCTCTATAAACATCGGCGGGTACCAGTACACACGCGCGTGGTCGTCACGCCGGAAAATAGTATATCGGTGTAGTTACTATCGTGGGACTGGATGCATGGGTTAAGTTGAGTTCTTGGCTGCCTCGATGGAATACGGAAACTTTATCCAGCATACTTGCCAAGACGATCACATCGTCGCAGCCCCAACAGTGAATATATTGGAACCTTTGCGTGCTGCAGTTGACGAGCTTTCTCGCAGCAATGTTGCTTTGTCTGCTGCGTCTATATGGTCTCGAGTCAACGAGCAATTCTATGCCGAAGCTTCGAACCAGGCTTTAATCGGACTTACGCGAGAGCAGGTGCTAAGCCGAGTGTACTGTGTACGTAATCGCCACTTTGGTGGTAATATACACGGTCGCGTTGAGGTGCCTCTCTTGTCACGTGTCAGTGATCGACCATTAAACTTTTTCCAATTTCACTATATCAGTGGCTTCAATGACAGCGAGCAACCAAGCCGAATTATCGGGTGGGCACACCCCGAGCTGATCGCACTGTTCAAATATGCGGGCACGTCACTCTTTGTCGACGGCACCTTTCGGTGTGTGCCACGCGGATTCCAACAATGCGTCGTAGTTATGGTACATGACAGGTCGTCCGGCAAGTACATGCCTGTGTTTTACGTGCTGACTACCAACCGAACCTACAACGCAATGTTCCATTTCATTTGCCAAGCTGCTGATAACCAACTCGAGCTTACTGAGTTTGTCTGCGACCTCGAACGAGCCCTCATCGACTCTGTCGGAGATCAATTCCCCAACGCCGATGTCATCGGCTGCTTATTTCACTTTAAGCAAGCTGTCCGTAGGAAAATGCGAAAAATCGGTATATCAAACCGTTTCGCTAGTATAGCGATGACAATGGCATGCTTACTGCTCTTCCTATCGAGTAAATTGACGGTGCTGGTACCCGGTGGGTGAAGTGTCAAATTAAGGAACGCTGCAGAAATGCTGGAGTTTCCTACAACCGCTCGAGGTGTTGGCGTTACTTTAAGCGCACTTGGCTTGAGATCTATGACCCTACCCTTTGGAATGTGCATGGGCTAACAGAACGACTTATCGCTCGCACGAACAACCCATTAGAGCGCTTTAATAGGGAGCTTAACGCTGCTTTTTCGATACCTCACCCCAGTATGACGATTTTTGTGGCCACAATCGAGGCTCTCGCGCGAGAGTATGTTGCTTAACTAGCTGCTAGACGTGCTCGTGGACAACAACGTGAGACGATTCAGTTGCTAAGGGCGATTGAGCTGCCGACGGAGTCTGACGACTCCAGCTCCGACGAAGATGACGAAGCAATGCAGGACTCAGATAGTGGTGCTGATAGCAGCAGCGACCACGGCGCTCCAACCGATGCAGGCGAATATGCTGAGAACGAGGTGACATCTGCAGTTGTCTAAGTGTGGTAGGAGTCACAAGACGGTCAACCATTCATATTTGCATGATGCCTCTAGCTTCAATACATTTGTGTTCTTCGCATGGTCTGGTGTCTGGTCAGACCTTCGGATAGTGCACCTGACCTCTGCATCCCGAGAAATAGCTAATTATAGAGTACAGTCACATATCTTTTTCATGCTGACCACCCAGGTGCTCCGATAATAACATTGCAATAATATTATCACAGCCCTTAGAAATAAGATATTGCTCAACAGCGAAAATAAATAATTGCAGCCAAAATAAGCCTTTCCTATAAAAAGATTTTAAGTTAAAACCACGGAAAAGTTTACGAAAAACAAAATTGGAAAGACCATGGGCCTTACGGTCTCAAAAATAAATAATTTATTGTAAAATATTGTATTGAAATGCTAATACAATGATTATTTCGGAGCACCTGGGCTCACCAATCGTAGGGCCCTTTTCAATGGTTTTCATGTTCGTGGAAAATGAAGTAGTTTATTTATTTTTTACTTGACTACATGTAGTAATTGTGCCGCGAATGATTAAGTGCTAGTTGGAGGCCATGGTGCAAATATCGACAGTTGACATCGAAAGCGAGTCCTTGTTGAAAGGCTCTGCTTGCCTCTGCGAAGCGATTAAGCCCACAAAGTGCACAGCCCTTGCGATAGTATCCCTGCCATTCACTCATTAGTTAGTACAGATACATAATTGTCAGTAAGTTAATTTACATACGACCGTCGACTTTGGATCCAATAGCACTGCCTGTTCTGCGTCTTGCAACGCTGCAGAAAAGTTGCCCATCGCTGCCAAGAGGGTCGATCGACGTGTGTACAGGATCCCCATATTCTTTCGCGTGTCGACGTTTAACCGAATTATTTTGCTGTACTGCTCAAACATCTTTTGAGCCTCTTCCAGTGGCAGTGTCGTTGGTGCGTCGAGTGCAAATGACGATAGCGAAAAGCTTTTGCGTTCTGTGGCGTTTTCTGAAGTGCCGTCTTCACTTCGCGGTCGTAACGTGCTTTTCGAATATAGTGAAGGTAGCAGCGCAACGCTTGGTTCACTTGTGAAATTGTGCTGCTGACGGAGAGAACTTGTGCTTTGAGAAGCTCTCAGCAGCACGGAATCCAATTCCTCACCAGACGATGCTATCGCTGACGGTGGTAGCAATGTCATAGACTTTAGTAGAGGCGAGTTTTGTGCCGCAAATGAAGCCATCTTCTGGGAGAACTCGAGTGATTCCAAGTGAGGTCTTGAGTTTCGCAGCGTCAGCTTGTGGGCCCCGCAAACGACCTCATTGTAGCGCCCTCTCTTGGTGGTAGAAGCGCAGTCACACTCGAGAAAACCAGGAGTTGCGAATGTTTTCGTTCCCAAAGTTGAGCTCGGACGGTGTCGAGCTAATTGACTTTCACGGAATTCGCCCAAAAGGACATCACACTGGGCTGAGTCGTCGGCGTCGGTGTCAATGATGTCTTTGGTGACGACTTCGGTCATGGGCAACTAAGAGTAATGTGCACAGCGCAAATGTTTTATTTTGTTTTAATGTTTACTATCTTTAGTTCGGTTTTTTTTTTCACACCGCAGAGCTCGGCTCGCCAAACATCGTCCAGCACTGCTCGCTGTCTTCTTGGATCCATAATAAATCGTAGTCTGACTCCTTTGTCGCGACCCCCTCCACCACTGAAGACAATCCGTTGTTTAGCAACTTGAGGACACGCGTCTTCACAACTGACCAAAACATTTCGCAGAAGAATTTGCAGTCTTCCAGCTTGATTGGAGCCGCTATTTGTGCGCCCGAATTTGCAGGATAAAGCTTCGCCAGATCCTCAGATGTCAACTGCGTACCAATTCGTTTCAACGTCGCTGCGAATGCAGCTCCAACATCACCTCCACCCAATTTTTTTTCGTTTTTCCAAGTGGTCTCGACCTTTCCTAGGGAATTTGAAAATGAGCTCCAGGTTCAGCATTTCAACCCAATCAAATCCTTTTTTTTGAAGTAGCGCCAGTTTGGTTGCGTGCTTTCGTGAAGAATGCGAAGATAAGTTCTTGGGAATACCGTTAAGAGGGGAGCATCAAACAACCATTTTGTCAATTGAAAACAAAAAAATATAAATTTTCGACAACATCAAATTTTGAAAATGTCATACGAAAGGCGGTCTATTCAACGGTCCCTTCCTGTTTACCGTTCCCGTTTTCTAGCAAGAAATGCCTATATTTCATCAACGCGGCCTGAGTAGTCTGCAAACAGGTCACTCTTGCCCTGTGCACGTGCTTTTGCGTCGGCTTCTGCGCATCCGAAACACCAATAACATTAGTAAAGCAATTACCGAGGTTTATTGCAACAGAAGTAGCTAACCATTAGTTTTGCCTTGTGAAGGCTGGAACGAGTAGTGTGGCGGGTTCGACGGCGTCTGTCGCGATGGTCGATGTGGCGTCGGGGACGGCGGACGCACCGGCATCCGCTCAAACTCACGCTCTAAACCTTCAAACGGGTTCGAGTCGCTTCTCCACAAGCCGCCACCAAAGAAATCTGCAGCAAATTTCAAGCTTTAATGCCTCGTTTCAAGCTCCGAACCCCCGAAACTAGCTCACTCACCTTCAAACGGCCGCAGCATTTCTTGTCGTAAAAAGTCGAATGGACTCATCTGTGCTTCGAAGTCGTCACCTCTGCACCCAAATGCAGCCAGAAATAAGCCCACAATTTGGCAACACCCAATTGCCGTCTCATTACAGTAGCTAAATGTACAAACCGTTGCTGGAAAAAAGTGCCAAATTCCTGTTCACCACTGCAGAAATTCCGGTTAACGCTGTCAACTGACAATCATTCTCAACATTGAATTACCACGCACCTTTTACGCGGGTCCATCCTCTCCCTGTTAAAAAATTCTCCAGTCGTGGCCTCGCCCCCGTGTTCGTCCTCTGTGATCTCCTTGCGGTTCGAGATGAGCTCCTTGCGAGCGTTGGGGCATTGGCGGAAGATTTTCTTAATGATCTCGCACTTACTGTCGCCGTTAATGGACCTGCAGGACTGCGACAGTGCCGTCGAGTAGAAGCAGCCAGGGTTGGCCTCGCGGTCCTTTTGGATCAGCTCCTGCTCCTCGTCACTCAGTGTCGACATCTCCGCTCTCTCGTGTGGCAATTATCGAACTGCGAGAAGACATTCTGGAACAAAAACGCAAAATGATGTGCACCACGTAAACTTTACAAGCATTTTGAGCAAAAACTGCCAGACAACATGAGAATTCTGCTTCAACGACATTCACTCTCTGTCATTTTGGTGCCGTTGCTCTACTGTTCCGGCGTCGGGATATGCATGTGAGCTTCAAGGGACTTAAGAGTCCTGTCATTCCGACCCGTCATTCCTGTTACCATACGACCAAGTCAGGATGGCATCCGTGGTATTCGTTGGGGGCAAGTGGGGGCGCAAACGTACTATATACCGACGATACTTTCATCTTGTAAGAGCACTCCAGGTGCAATAAAATCTCCACAAGCAACGAATAAAATTCGACTAAATTGCACGTGATAAGAAAAATTAGTGCAACCGTGGGTAATTACGGATCAAGAAGCGAATACGTTGGTAAATCTTCTTAAACACCAAGCATTTTGCGGATGCTGATCACGTATTCGACAGTATTGCACAGCTCGAACACAGAAAGAACCATTAAAATGTACTGCGTTGGCTTAGCAATTGTCTGTCGAAGTCTCGATCACTATGCAATCCCCAACGTAGTTCTGTAATATCTTTCGGTTTCAAGATCAATGGCAGCTTTGTTAAGACAGGGGTATCCATTTACACTGACGTATGCAGAAACTCTCGGCTTTGAACAAGCACGGAATATTTTGTTGCAAATTGCAAGCTTTGCTGTCATTCTTTTTTGTGGAAATTAATTCGATAAACACCCGAGCAAGAGGCTCATTCGTAACGAATCTGCTTGTAATATGTGTCGAGCGCAAGCATTTCCAGCCAACAGTCCAGCAGCCTCTAGCACTCTTGAAACTTCTAGCTGCACCACTCTCGTCGCTCTACTGTTGCGATAATGCTCCTCGGCTAATAACATCGCTCTCTCTTTTCAGTGAAGCTGATCAACATGACAGCTCATTGATTCGAAATGATGCCAAACAGCTAGTTTTGCACTCTCCAATGAAGTTGACGATATCATTTTCCTGGGCTCACACTACCCATAGAGCATCGTTTGCGGTGCAATATCCCCACTGCGAAAAGGAGATGCCGAGTCGGATGAACGGCAACTTGTTGCTATTGAAGAACGCAATGATCTGGATCGTTGTCATTACCTTTGTCTTTGCTTTTTACTTTGGCTCCTCTTTTGCGACGATCGTTCGTATTTTTCGTAGAGATCAAGTGTTCAATGACTTCTGGTGGTTCATATTTGTCGACGAGGATTGATACTGGACCGTCGGTCGTAACAACGGAACCTGCTGCTGCAATATCAACAGCTGCAGACGTTCGATTTGATGTAAGAGGTGCTTGATTTACGGTCCCAATAACTGGACTAAATGTCGATTCTTTTGTTGAGCTTTTTAAACCAGGTGACCCGCTCGGTAGGATCTTTTCCGCAGTGTCGTCACTACATGTAGCTGTGACGAGTTCCTTGCTTGTCAAGGCTTTTGCGGCTAATGGAGCGGGTATCTCGTGGTCAGGGGAGACCTTATTTGATCGCTTAGGAAGATCGCTGCGCCGCTCAATTGTACCTTTAAAAGAAGCGAAACTTGACACAACGTCTTGCTTACCTGCCGGTGGTGACAATATACCAGGCGACGATTTCTTGTCGTTGATCTCAAACACGTAAGGCGCTGATTTCTGCTGGATTTCGTCGTGGAAGGTTTGTGTTGGGGGTATCCGGGCAAGTACCTGTCCTTGGAAAGCAATGTTCCCCTTTTGAAAAGATTCGGGTACTTCATCAGTCTTGGCATCGATTTGACTCACACGAACAAAAGAATGGCGATACAGGCCATTCGGACGACGTTGAAACGAAAAATACCGTTGCAACAGCACGGTAAACGCCGCCATCTCAGCCTCCAAAGATGCATCTTGAATGAATAAAGCAGTGTGGGTGTAGTGGTGCGAATGATGACTTTGGGCGTTGCTTGCGTCTTCCAGATATCTACGCACGGAGGCTACGTGGTTAGAGCGACTGTAGCTACTCCCACGGGGCTGATCAAGTTTGTCTAAACATTCGGATGCCAAACGTGCCAGGATACCTTTATCATCACGTTTCAATGCTAATTCATCACTTGGTAGAGCGTTTAAGCACAAGAGACTGGTACACAGTGTGCGAATACTAGTTTCCACGTTGGTTGATACGTGACAGCGGATCGTGTCGTTCTGTAGTATCATTCGAAGCAACCGCAAACGATTTCTCGCAAAAATGAGCCCTGTGGTGCTGCGGGTTGGGCTTAAACTAAGAAGTTCATCGAAGAACACCGTGCGAGTCAAATCTTGTTCGACTAGCAAGCGTATAAACTGCAGAAAAGCTCGATCGACCGACGGTGGCATCTTCGATGCTGCCAGCTTCCCATTGTGGCTGACCGACCAGCAAAACGAACTCGCAAGAGTCCACTCCAGAATGACTCGCAGCCCATAATTCCAGTTCGCACGTGCAACCTCTTCGACAAGTTTTAAGGCGGAAGATCCCCCAAGCTGCTCAGCTTCCAAAACATCTGATGACTCAATCCGGAAAACGGTGTAAGCTAGATGAATTGCAGTTTTGAAGACGTAAGATGTCTTTGCTTCTCGAATTCCGAGCACAATCAAAGCAATTACACCTTCAAACGCACACGTTGCTCCAATAACATTTTTCAAAAGTGGAGCAGCTCGCTCAACCATCTGTATGCACGTCACTTGGGGATCTGCTCCACCACAGAGTAAACACTGGGTGAAGAATGGTCCAAAGGTGTACAGTATGATCTCTTTGCTGTTCGTAGGATCAGTGGATGATACTGTTGGAGACTGCCACGACGATACGTCGTCCGGGTCCTTTGTCATCTTTGTGTCAAGAATTTCCTCGAGTGTTGATCGCTCGCGAGCGGATTGCTCGATATACTGTCGTAGGGCGGTATCAAAAGGTGAAGCTGCGCAATTTTCTTCTTGAATTTGATCTTTTGGTGCCAGTATTTCGTCCTCAGGTTTGCTGGTTGGAAAGTTTGATTCCGGGGGAATTTGAGTCAATGTTTCTTTTTCTCGTTTAGAAATACCAGCTATCTGTATTACCAGGTCCATCGGTACTCCAGCATCCAGCAATACTGCTTGCAGCTCGTCGTAGTCATTCGCGAGAGGTTGCATACCTGGTCGACGAATGACACCAGGCTGGTGGCTACTTCGATCCTTGTCCGTGTGTGTTCTTTGAGCAAGTGAAGAATCCTCTGTTGACCCCATTAGTTCAATATCTTCAAGCACAACCTGCACAAAATTTAAACGATCAGAGAGAGTTTTTGAGTATCAAGCGCGCTCGGTACCTGTCGACGACTGCTTTTATTCTGTCCGTAAGCAATGAGTTTAATGAACGAGCACTCAGCAACATTCAGAGGAACAATCCTAGAGTCGATATCGCAAGACGTATCCAGCCTCGTAGGAGAACACGCATCCCATTTTAATGGCTCGCTAGACGAACAAATTAATAAAATTATTATCATAAACTCAACGGAGCGACTGGATATTATATCCAACATACCCACATTGCTTCCACTTAACGCTAAGATAACGAGACACAAGGTCGAATTTACTCAAACCGTCGTTAACTGTCCCTGGTATGGCTGCAAAAATGACAACTAAAGCAGGCAATGAATAATTTGGCTCTTCGATCATGAAGTACGATTTGCTTACTCACTTTGCGCTGGCGCCTGTGGACGTCGTACTCTCAGGCACAAGGATTTGATCGCTGCAGGCTCAGCAGATAATAGAATGAGCCCCAACTCCTGTGGGGATGTTACGTTTCTGCAACGCATCGACTACTATTTAGAAATGCAGCGGAAATTTACAGTGCTTCATCTTCACGATGCTTACGGTTTAGATTTCCAAAGAGGCTGAGCGTCGAGCTCTTCAACAACACCAGGTGGCTGCCATTCCTGCCGGTCGCCTCGACCAACGTCCCGAAGATCCAATTCGTTCACGACTAGCAGTCGGAACGGAAGACTTTGCATACCATCAAGGGATTTCCCAAGCGCCGTTTTGTTCGGGAGATCTTAAAAAAAAGGAATTATTGTGCTTTTCATGTAATTTGCCGTCCGATTTTACTCAAATTCGGACTTGAGGTACTCCGGTTTTTGATTTGTAAAATCACTCTGTTCGCCATTTAAATCTTTGCTGATTAGTGTAAATCGTCAGTTCCGAGTCTGGACCCCACGCGAAGGCCGCTCAAGCTACAAAAGAAGGTGCGCGTGGTCAAGGTCGCGCATGCGGTGAGCCAGAAGCCGCTCAAGCTGGAGAAGGAGTTGGGAGTGGCGCCGGCCGCGTTTGTGATAAACAAGAAGCTGTTCGAGCTGTAGAAGGTCGCACCTGTGGGGAATCTGAAGCTTGTCGAGTGCAGAAGGAGGTGTGCGTGACCACGAACGTGCTGTGGGAAGCTTCTCATCCTGTGGAAGGCGGCGATTGCAGGCCAAAGTCGTGTCTGCTGTAAACCTAGAGCTGCTCAAGCTGAAGAAGGAGAGCTGGTGACCAAGGAGCCGCTCCAGTAGCTGCGGAAAGGCCGCGCTGGTGGCCACAGAGTTGCCAAAAGAGGTGGGCGCGGACATGACCACGCCGGAGATGAATAAGGAGCGGCTCAACGTGCAACAAAGAATTGGAGATTGCGTGAAGAGTAGAGCTAGTGGCCAAGGCGCCGCTGAAGCACCTGAACGTGGTGCTGTGGTCATGGCCACACAGGTAATCTAGGAGCCGTTTGAGCAGCTAAAGGACGGATGGTCAGGTGGCCAAGGAGGTTCAGAAGAAGGTGGGTGCTACCATGGGCGGGGCCGGGTTATGGCAACGCTGGAGACGAACGAGGAGCGGGATAAGATGCTGAAGCCAGTCGACCGACGACTAGAGCAAGGTTCGAGGACGTAATTCAACGTGGCGATAGGGTTGAACACTAATGCCACGAAGCCTCGTCAAACGTAAGTCATCGTAAAAGCTTCTATTATTGGTTTTGGTATTCATAAGCATTGGTTTAACTTAGTTTCTATTCTACAATGGCAGGCTCATCTGTCCCGCAGCTTCCGTTGCCAAGCTTGTTGACTTGTCGGATTACAGCAAAGAATGGCGAGCCAGACACCAGAGCTCTAAAAAGTTTCTCCCAAGGAGTTTGTGTTGACAATAGACGACGGACCGGCAGCGCTCCGCAAGATAATTGAGAAGAAGCTGGAAGAGATGGTTCCTGGGCAATGGCAGCCTGGTTTCGCAGTCTTCCTGAAGCCATCAAATCACGCCAAGCAAAAAGACTACGTCCCACTTGTTGAAAGTAGCGCGTTCAAAGCGCAGTTAGAAGGTGTGTGGCACACAGCTCGGCGTCGAAAAAGTGGTCAAGCCGGGTTTGTACTTGAGCTCTTCGTATACATCCCCAAAGAGTCGCGAACGTCAAGCACTTCGCTCCGTCGAGCTACCGCGTCGCGTATTCAAGAGCAGATTCCCCGTGTTGCCGCTTTCTTACAGGAGTCTGGTATTACTGGCGGACCTGCTACACAAAACTATATGGCCCGTTGCGCAGGCTAGACTTCCCGAGGGCAGTGATATTGAAATTCCCCAGAATACGACGTTCCGACAGCTTCTACATATTGATGAGCAAGAACGATCAATGAATGAAGAGATCGCATCGACACAGCTACAGCACGATGCAGCTTATCGCATCATTCGCGTTCAAATCCACGGCGTTCCAGTTCCACTAAAAGTCAACATAGCGGACCTCCGCGATGCCCTTGGTCTACCGCCATATAGTTTGTGCCCTCCTTTTCGAGGACCAATAGAGGTTGACACGCCTGATCCAGCGCAAAATATTGTCGATACAGACCACATGGAGCCGAATGAAATGGAAAGATCACATTAAATACATCTAGTTGACCTGTATTTCAAGTTTTTGTGAATGATAACCACAATGTCTGTAAAGATTTAAACCTACAGAATCTTTTTGTCGTGTGCAGTTGTAGAGCGCAACTTTCATCACCGCAAATGGGTCAGTTTGGAATGCCATATTTGCATTTCGTTGGATCCACCTCTTAAGAAGTGAGAAGGTGACTTCAATTGGGTTTAAGTCTGGGGAATATGGAGGAAGGAACATCAGTATAGCTCCCGTTTCATGGACCAATTCCTGGAGTTCCTCGTACATGTGGATTATTGCATTATCCATGATGACGATTGACCTCGGTAGTGGCCATCGATTCAGGTAAGGCGCAATTTTGGTCTTGAAAATCTCATTAATATCGCTCTCGTAAAAGTACCTTCAGTAATCCCCCAACCAAAGAATTCGTTGACATCGACCGCTGCTAGCAACGAAACTCGATTCCCTCGGCTAAACGGTAGTACAGCATGAGCAGGAGTATTCCTGGCGGACCACCCATACTTCCTCAATACAGATCTGTTTGACAAAACAATAGGTTAATAACCGCTTGTAGCATAAGTAAAACAAAATAAACTGATAAAACGAAGTTACTTACCGGCCATCTTTTGACGTTTCATCTACGAAGACAAGTTGATCAGGTCCACTATAAAACGGTAGCAGACGGTTGATATATTCTTGTCGGTCTCTAGGGACACTCTCCTTCGCACGTTTTGTCAGGACCTTGCGCGTTAATCCCAGATCGAACCGTAACGCACGGCAAATTGTTGAATCTGTCAGGCTTATCGAAGCTCCGAATTGAAGTTGTAGCTCCTTTCGAAGCTCTTCAAAGTAGAAACAGGGGTGGGCGTTGACATACTCTCGCACAAATGAGCACACATGATCCGGCCACCTTGACGATCGATTTCTTGTTTTCTCGGCTAATACGTTCCCAGTCCGTTTAAAGTCGTGATACCAACGACTTAAACTGCGCTCTGAAACACCTAAAACAGAGGCAACTGTAGCAACGTCAATGCTATAGACGTACAGTAGAACTACGCCACGCCACTTCATATCAACGGAATACATGGCTTTTCGTCGCTAGTCAAAATCTACACTGACTATCGCGTCGGTTTTGACGCAAACTGCTGGATGGCAGAGGATTCACCGCCATAGTGGAGTTGAATTGTTTAAGAGTGAGACTTAAAAGCCGAATCTACTCCGAATTTTCAAAACGAACCCTTCTTTTGTGTCTGAGCTTTTGATTGGTTATATTTACGGAGGCGTGAATCACGCCGTGATATCTATCTGGTTGTCACCTGCTAATTCTTAGTTTGTTATACCTAGCCCTTGCAATTACAGATAGTTGTTTTTATCCGTTTAGCCAAAATATATGCAAAGCACAATACTTCGGTAAAACAAATAAAAACAGATTTTATACAGTTGCCAACACAGTCATACATACTGCATTTGTCAATTACCCTGCTGGAAACCTTCCGAAACTTACTTGACCTCCGAGGCGCCTGTGAGGCAGTTCATGTAAATATACGTGTCCACGCCGTGTCCTTCCATGGGCATAATAGCTAGTTCACCGCCAAAGTACTTCGCGTACAGCTGTGCAATACGCAATCCGAAAGAGTCCGAGAAGTCCAATCCACTGGCGCGTCTCTCCAACACCTCGGCTACAGGGTCGTATCCACTCGAGGTAGGGGACGTGGCCGTGTGGTAATAGTTGGACAATTCGTTGGCTTCCTTGCGGGTCATACCGCCGCCCAGGTCCGACACTTTGACACACACGCCGTGCTGTCCGCCAGAGATCAACACATTGACAGGCGGAGGCGTCGAAGCTCCCGTTCTCTTAGCAGCCGCGACGCTGTTCAGCACAGCATTCTTGAACACCTCAGTCAAGATGATCTCGATGTGCTGAGGCACGTAGCGGTAGGTGGCTTCTTCATCGCCACTGACAATGATCTCGGGCAGTTGTTCGTCACGGAGACTCTGCTGCCACAACGGACGCACCTGTTGCACAATGTCCCGTGCGATCTTTACAGGCGACGTCTCGTCATTGACGATACCTGAGAAGCCAGGCTTAGGCGTCTGGGCGGCGACGTGCTGATCTACGAGCATGCGGATGCCAATGCGCGAGTTGTAGAAGTTGTCCAGCGACTCGCTGAGGCCTTGGGGCTCGTACTCGAGCGCCTGCACGGCCTCGGCGATGTTGCCGTGCATAGTGGCATGTTTCTTGCGGATTTTGCGGTGTAGCTCCATAAAATCGTGCTCGCTAGCAAGGTTGGCGGGCAGCGAACAGCTCACGAGGCGGTCGAAGCTGTCCAGTAGCTGCTCGCGCAGTGACACGATGGGTGTGGCCTGCGGCAGCTCATCTGGCAGGTTCTCAAGGTCCACGATGCGACGCGCGATGCGAATGGGCACTTCGCGATGCAGCAGCTGCGCGGACGTGACGATGGCGGGCGCATTCGCCTCGCGCCACTTGGAAAGCGCCTGTGGATCGTTCTGCAAAGACGCCGCGACGGCCTGACTGGCGTGCGGACCGCGTTTCAGCAGCGCCTGCAGCGTGATGGGCGGTAGAGGGATATGGTGCAGGCGATACACCTCGGCCAGCACCTTGGCTGCTGCGGACGTGGGCATAGTTGTAGTTAATGCGCAGACACTTGGGGAATGAGGCAGCGAAGCTCCTTGGGTCAGCGTATTCTTGTGGCGGATCCGCTCGTGCACTTCAAACTGGATCCTATTGGTTGAAAAGTAAAATGTGTTTGCGCAATTGACAAATATAAATTTCATAGTTTTTTAAAAAAAAAGTTAGTAAGAAAAATCGCTTTTGTGTCTTTAAAATATAATAGTGAATTGAAAAATTGGCCAATCACATGATGCGTGTCAATAGCCTACACAAGTTGAAGTGGTTTGCCAGAAGAGAGGAAGGCGGCGTCGCCGTAGTACTGGGCTACGTAGTCCAGCTTGTCCTTTGCCGCTGGATTGGCACCTTTCTCGGCGAGGACGGCTGCGCAGTTGGAGTTGCCGTGCAGCATTGCGCAGTGCAGAGGCGTCCAGCCGCAGCGATCCACTTGGTTCACGTCTGTGCCGGCAGCGATGAGCACCGATACCGCTGTAGCCATGCCTCGACTCGCTGCCCAATGCAGTGCGGACCGATGTTCGGCACTAGTCAGCGAGACACTCGCACCAAGCTCCAGAAGCCTCTGGATGACCTCGATGTGACCATTAGCTGATGCACACATCAGCGGCGTCCAGCCATGTCCGTCACGTGAGTCTATCTCAAGTGTCTTTAATGTACTCGAACCATTACCACCGTTCTCCGGTTGTGAAGTGTTCATTTCAACGAGAAGGTTAAGTACGTCAAGCTGGCCGTAGTCAGCGGCGTAGTGGAGCGCTGACCAACCTGTTGCGTCTCCGGCATTCGGATTACAACCTCGACTAATCCATTCTCTGACAAGATCGAGATGTCCTCGACCACATGCTAGACGCAGTTCTTGACCATATTTATACGCTGGTGCATACACTAAAGCGAACACGTTTAGTAGTTCTTCTCGGGTTAAGCGGCCATTACGCGGGGTGGTGGCAGCTTCTGTACTTTCAGCTTCTGGATCGGCTATAGGAACCGTATCGCGCACAGGAAAACAAGGCACAACAATGCTTTGATACAACTCATCGGAGAGAGCTAGTCCTGCTCGTCGTAGCAATTCTGGGACTCTATCAATGACAATACCGTCTTCAGTGGGAGGATTCTCTGCTACATCAGCGTCAAGTACCTTCGTGAGCACCTCAAAGTCCCGTTCTCGGAGCTCACTAATACGCGTCACTTCTACTCTGCTCGGGCCGTCAATAACGCCGCCACTTGCTGACAAAGTGGTAAGACGGGCACCTACAGTTAAAGCATCGCTAGATGCAGCTAAGAACATCGTCTCCTTGTTTGGGTTCTTCACGTTTGCAACTGTGAGGATCACACTCGTTTTCGTATCGATTGACGTCCCATCAGCTCCTAAATAAATCTCCAGCGTGTGTTGGTTGCAGTCCCACGCAGAGATAAGTGGTTTGTTATGATACACTGGTGTTCGGAGCAAAAGTCTCGGCTGCTCCTCCATTTCCCATCCGTCAGGGGGCAACTCAATTAGCAATTTCCCTCCAGACGGAACTTTTCCATTGACTATAAACGCCAGTGTCACGTCCGACACCGCTCCAGGACGGCAATTAAACGGACTCCAGCGCTTTTTCCCACTAATGTATCCAGGTACGATCTTTGGTATCGTAAATACAGCAGGGCCATCAACAATTTGCCCTCCGCGTGTGGATGTCGGTACAGTACTTCTCACCGCCAATTTCTCGAATGTCGTGACGATGGCTTCGCCCTGTGGCGTCGCTGTCTCGGGTGTGCCAACCCCAGACACTACCAGTATCAACGGAGTATCACCAGGTATCACCGTCTCGTTCAATAGTGTAAATTCCATAGTGCGTGTGGTCGAATTCCACGTCATTTTCACCTGTGGCAAAGCTGCAGTTGTTGCATTTTCATTCGGAGACGGCAGTTGCAACACCACATTCGGTTGCGCAGAGGGCAGCGTCCATCCATGGTCAGGTAATAGACAAGTAGCTCGCGAATATTTTGCCAATGGCCCCGACGTCGTGAAGCTCAACGTGAGCTTGCCGACGACGCCGGGGGTGGCGAACTCAGGCTCCAGCGCTTTGCGGCCTTTGAAGCTGCCGGCGACGATCTTGCGGTGCCGTCGCGCGAGTTGAAGATGTGCGCCCCGCTCTTGCTCACCGGCATCCTCGTGCGAAGAACCTCCCAGTCGCTTCATGATCTTCCGAGTCTAAAGCAACGGAGGAAAATCCAGGTGGAAGAGCTCTTCAACGTGGAAACCGGCGGCACTATCATTAGAAGCGTTTCTAAGTGAGTGTAAGTCATTACGACAACTTGCTGTCCAAACAACCTTCAACCAGCGACATGGGCATCACCGAGATAACAAGCAGACGCAAGTTATCCATCGCATCGTAGCGAGCAAAGCGAAGCGATGCATTACAACGCATGAAGAAGACTGGAGGAGTCCTCCGAGGACGGTGTCCAGTGACGTATTCCAAGCCTTTATCTGCGATACATTTCTCCTAATGATCGTCCAAGTGCGTAATCCCCGTGCAACGTAGCATTTCATTATGAAATCGGCTTTGGAAGGAGTATTTCTTGACGGAAGTAATTTCGAAAAGCTGAAGCTAGTCACAGGTAGCAAAAATTATGACACATTATTAATTCTAATAAATCTAAGAGGTTTCAACGGGGTATAATTAGGCACACTCTGCATTTTTGGCCCGTTTTCGATCGCTGGCACAACCAAACAGCAGGCCAAGTGCCCAAGTTCAGCGCCGTTCCACACACGGAAGAGGAGGGTAAGTCGCGCCACTCGATAACCAGCCCGGCAACACGCAGCGTAACAGCTCCGAGGTATGTCGACGACGCAAAAAAACTCAGTGAAAATGCTCCTACAGGCTTAAAAACTCACCTTCCTCTAATGATGTATAGTTCCAACCAATCAGCAACTTAATCGAAAATGGGCAGGCGCTGGCAGCTCCGTGACAAGGAGAACTTCATCAACTATGTGAAGATCGAGCTGCAGCTTCTGGCGCGGGAGTGGAAGATCATCCTTCCGTGCGTCTTCATGCAGTACGCCCACGCCATCTTCCACAACCTGGCGTACTATATCCAGGCCCATTACCTCTCGACGGAGCAGCGCTTTACGCTCCACGACTTGGGTTATGAACTCATGGGCGAGTTGACGGGCTGGGCCTCGGACCTCTCGGACATCCTCGTGTTCGCCACGATCTTCGCCCCAGCCATCGCTCTGGTGCTGACGATCCCGCTCTTCCGACAGGAGCCTGGCCGCCCGCGGTACCTTGTGATCACGCTCAAGCGCTGTCTGCTGCAACTCAGTATCTGTCTGGTCTTCCGCTGCATTTCGTTCCTCGTGACGGCTCTCCCGGGCCCTGCTGACCACTGCGAACTCAAGTTTAACGACACGTGCTTGGCGGCGAACCCGGACGATCCGGTGCCTTGCGTTGTCCCCAACCCGGAGTTTACCCCACCCACCATTGGCGAGCTGTTCACACGTCTGGACTCGCTCAACGGCTGCGGTGACTTGATGTTCAGTTCCCACACGATCTACACGGTGTCATTCATCCTAACGGTCTGGAAGTACTGGCCTAACAAGTACGGAATCTCCATCATGGTTCTCGTGCAGATTACTATCGCGTTCCTCATTGTGGCCTCGCGCAAACACTACACGCTTGACGTGTTCTCTGCGCTGTACATTGTGCCACTTTTCTGGCTCGCACTGGAGGCGTACCACAAGGACATTAACAACAAGGACACAGAGGTCACGGTCAAGACCATCTACGACTTCTACGGCATTGACGTCTCGAGTGACGCTAACGACGGCGCTGTGCCTCTTAACACTACGGATGTTTTACCTCCGCAGGCCGCTCCGCTTAACTCGGTGCAGGTGGCCCTGACGGAAGACGAAAGCCTGAGTGGCGAGCGATTGGATCCCGACACTAGCTTCCAGCGCAAGAATTCTGTGTAAGGTAGATGGAATACTTTCATTTGGACTTCAACTATAATAGGGACGTATGATCGGCCTGCGTACACTTTTTTTTCTCTCGCATGATGGCTTGTTGCAATTGGTGTTTATAAAGCTGCAATTATTGCCTGCTAATTCTCCAAACCAAAATAAAGAACTGAGCTCCGAACAGGTGAGGCTCCATCACTGCATCATGGAGCAACCGTATGGAAGCAGCAACAATAAAGGTATACTCGACTGTTTTACGAGGGATCAAGTTGAATTGGCATGGACATTTACACGGTCATTCATTTCATCGGTAGAGAATGGGTAGGTTGCATTTGGGTTAAGTGACCGTCGTGGCGTTCTTCATCGTCACCAGTTTTACCAGTTAAAGTACTACAAGTACTGCAGTAGACTCCCACTGGTTAAAGCAAGATTAACAGCGATGCGTGCTCCAGAAATTGTGGCACAATGGGTTCCACAATCAACTCCAGTGATGATAGTGTGGCAGTCGAAGTTGTCGCCACAAAACCGGCCTCATTGGGAACGCAAACAATTTCTTCACTAAGCCCCGATATAAGTTATCACTTCCAATGAGCAGCTAATAAACTAAGATACTTCATATCGAAACGGGGAGAATCTAACCATCTCGCACAAAATACCATGTGTGATTGTGATGTACCTACCGGTATAAACCGGTACTTTCGTGTAGACGAATGGCTGTAAGCTGTAGACGAAGATTATAGACGAACGAAAGGTCACCAAATACAATTTGATTAGCCATGAGCGGCAGCAACCTCCCCCTTCACGCTATTCAGCCGCCCCCAGAGACCACTTACAGCTCTCACGATGCCGCTGAAGCCGCGCTGCACCAGTGGACGCTAGATCACGGCTTCAACGTCTCTCGCCGACGTTTTCGGTACAAGGGTGGCACCGAACGCGAAATTTGGGCTCGTAACTACGAGTGTGACCGTGCAGGGGCCCCTAAGAACACTCAACACCTGACCGAGCATGATTAGGAAGCGTACGCTACGGGGATCGAAGCGCTCAACTTGCCCGATGCGGATAGGGATTAGGGCTGTCGATAAAGATGACACTGCCAGCCAGTGGAAGATTGTTCATACTGCTCGAAGCACGCATCATAACCATCAACCTTCGCGGGATGTTCGCGTACATGCGCAGCATAGGCGTCGGGCCATCCAAGCAACATCACAACCACTGGCCTCACACATTCTGGATTTGGTTGAGCTTCAGACAGCAGCCGGGGCCACGCCTTCGACGATTCATGCAACAGTTCTAAGCGCAGACCCACGCTCTCTCATCGTTGCCAAGGACATTTCTAACGCCAAGGATGCAAGCCGTCGACACGACTTGGCATCTAGAACGGCAACTGAGGCCCTGTTTCAGGAACTCGTTAAGCACAAGTTCTTCTACAAGTTTCGCCTTAACCCCGAGACAAACGAAGTCACCCATCTCTTTTGGGCCCACCCAGCGACTACTGCGCTGTTCGAGTTTCACTTCGACGTTCTGGTAGCTGACTGTACCTACAAGACGAACAAATACCGCCTCCCCTTGCTCAATATCATCGTGATCACCGGGGCTAACTCGGTTCTTCTGGTTGCGCAGTGCTGGCTCCCCGGTGAAAAGGATGAAGATTTTGTGTGGGCTTTCAATATGCTGCGACTGTTAATGATCGAGAACGATATCGATCCGGCGCGGGTGATCTTGACGGACCGCGATCTGGCGTGTCTAAATGCTCTCGACCGAGTATTTCCAGGTATTCCATCAATGGTCTGCCGTTGGCACATGAACAAGAATGTCGAGGCCATGGCAAGAAAGCATTTAGGTCAGGTGGACGTTGAGAACCCTGCTCCTGGTCAACCAAAGAAGGAGAATTCTTGGCAAACGAACTCATTTATGGCGAGTTTCTATGAGGCTGTGGACGCCGAAACAGAAGCCGACTTCAATGCCAAGCGTGAGGATCTAATTGAGAAGTGCAAACCAGTGTCAGATTACCTCGATCTGCATTGGTGGAAATACAAGACAAGGATTGTCAAACACTGTACAAACAAGTACATGCACTTTGGTGTCCGCGATACTTCCACAGTTGAAGGAACGCATGCCAAGATCAAGAGCAAATTGGAATCGAGTCAAGGAGATTTGTACACGGTGTTTAATAAGCTTCTAAGTTGGTGGACGATCGCGGCGTCGGAGACGCGCTTACTTATGGAGCAAAACGCAGTCACTGCACCTCACATATTCCAGACGAACCGTTATTCCAGAGTAGTTCGTATTATCACACGAGTAGCTCTTGGAGAAACAGAGAGGCTGTGGAAAGATGCGGAGAAGATAGTAAACAGCGGGTTTAGCGTAGCAAGTGCTCAGGTGTTTTCCGTGTCGTACACGGCAGACCATGCCTGCACGAGTTAATTTCGATCGTCGAGTCCAACGGGCAACGGTTCTTAGCTCCTCATGATTTCGACAAGCATTGCTGGATTTATAGGGATCAAGATAAGCACACTGTGCCAAGAATTCAAGAACCAGCTACAATCCGCACGATTCGAAAGGGAAAACGACAAGCTCAGCATCGAAAGAATCAAGGCGAAAGAGGAACTGGACGCGAGCCAACTTTCAGTGAGCGCATGGATTTGAGTCATCCTGCTACTCCACCTACAATGGTAGGTCTGCCTTCAATTGATGTGCAACAGTTCGGCATCCACGAAGGAGACGTAATTTTGAGTTTCGAAGACGCTTTCCTACCACCGCGTTCATGGGGTTTTGCCGGCCGTAAGCCCTTTACTGACCAGCAGCCAATGAGAAGCAGTAGACCAGACAGAAGCTATACGTCTAAATATATGTTTTCTTGCAACTTCAACTTTAATTTTACTTCAACTTCCAATAATTTAAAAAATAAAGGAAATTTGCAATATGAACCTTCAAATGCGATGTAATGAGATTTACTCCACCTACTGGCCGCTACCGTGGACTCTGCTCTTGTGCGAACGCAAACTACTCGCCACGGGGTATTCGACGTTGGGGCACAACTCGCATTTGAAGACACCTTCCTTGCCCTCGCGCTTTCGCTTCAACCGGTTCGAAGCTCCATCGGGATTCTGCTCACACAAATACCGATGTTTGCGCAGCCCAGGCTCTTTTAGCATCTTGACACCGCAGAAACCACACACACCATGGCTCGGAAGAACATTTTGGACCACATCAGGTGTCCAGTGCACGTCGTCGTAGCTTAGATAGCAGTGTACACGGTAGTTAGTTTTGATGAAAGCAACACCGCTGTGAATGAGATCTCCTCTAAAGATTAGGCAAAATCCCACGGGAATTTCCACAATGCGCTCTTTGCTGTCGTTTCTGGCAGCGAAGCATCCGTCGAGACTCGAAGCCTCGTATTGGGCTGCAAAGCAAGCACCATGCTTGCTGGAACTCCGCCGGGATGGGCTGCGCGGGCACGAGCTATGTCGTCGCCTTGGTAGTCCTGGCGGGCCTCCTGCTCTATTTCGCCTGGCTTCGAGCGCATGAACGAGAATACGCCTGGCTTCCAACCCGGGTGCAGTTCCAATGACTACAGCCAGCGCCTTACGCAGCTCCAAAAGAGCTGGCGACAACGCAGCCCTATCCACGCGAGACTGTTGGCGGTAGGAGTCGTCGCAACCTCCGACACGATTGAAAACTCCAGTGTACGTACGGGCCTTAGCTTCGGCTAGTAGTGTAGGTATAACGCGATCCGGTAGAACGAGGCCCACGGCCAGATATCCATTCGGCAGCAAGGGCCCGGTGACCGAGTTCATGCGTTTGCTTAGAATCTGAAAGTAAAACGTTTTTGCTTTTGCAACGGGAACGGTCTCTGCAACGGGAACGATTTATACTGGTATTTAATGAGTATCAGGCAGTCGGTTGTATGGGTCCTGACCCGAGTCACTGTCAATTTTTAGACCTAATTTAAATATCCATTTTTACCATCAATTTGAGAAACACCAGCTCAGCCCCAGATCATAGACAAAAATGGCCCGGAGTTCGGGGATGTCGATTCGCTCGTGTGCTGTCGCTGCAGCAGCATTGACACCAGCTCAATCAGAACATGATTGCACTGTGCAGTTTGAGATCGAAGAAAGCGAGAGAGCGACAATACAGACAACGTTGAGCTCGCGGCCGGTCAATACGAAGCGAAAGTACGATAGATATCAAAACGAGTTTATGCAGTGGTGTACCGATCGAAATTTTCGTGATCATAACACGGTGACTGGGGGGAAACTGCATCTTTTTCTCTCTAGTAGTGTGATAGGTCGGAAGTCGAAGAAAGACAAGGATAAAACCATCGGAGGGTCCACTGTTTGTGGATACGTGAAAGCTATTGTCGATCTTTACAATCAGCAAGTTACTCTGCGCACAATTCAAACCTGCAATCAAGAGCCATCTCGGTAAAGCAGCTAATAAAAAATGTTCAAGCTCAATCGACAAAGACACGAAAAACGAGTTACGAAGATAGAGGAATAGGATCCTTACTGGACGGCTATTCCTCCGCCGAACAATTCAAGCAAATTTGTGATACTTTTCTTTCGCTGGATGAATTACGAGGGCGTACTGCCTTTCTTCTTTCACATTTTGGTGGTTAGAATGTCCGCGATTTGGAGCTAGCTGACATGTTCTCGCAGAGACTAGATCAGGAAGGCTTTCAGCCCTGCATTGCTCTTGTTTTGCTGATTCAGCATGGAAAGACCAACACATTTGGCAAACTGCAGCATGTCGGGTATATGCGCAACAAAGATGTGCACGTTTGTCCAGTTGGCAGCGTCGCCTTGTACCTATTTGAGCTATTCCACGTGAAGCAGGGCCATTCCCATCGTTTAGGCAGGCGAAAGACTGGTATGATATTAAGTTTTTACGCGGTCGACAGAAAACCCAATCTATTACGTGCTGTGCTTTTTAAAGACTGTGCTGTTCTTTTTGACCATCTCCCTGTTCGCATTCGTGACCATATTATATTTGGAGAATCTTTCCAGAAATATAGAACTCAGGCTTTGGCTGGCGCAGCTAGTGCCAAAAGTCATGTGGAAAAAAATCTTCAGGTTGCAATGCCTCTATT